TATTATTATTATTATTATTACTATTTGTAAGCATCGCGTTTTTTTTACATTATATCCGTCATGCATTTTTTTAAACTGTTAGAAGGGTGGATGAATGTATTATTGTGTCTGTGTGGATTTCCTGACGTATTTAGGACAGAACTGAATTTTGTAAGGTTTAAATTCGTTTTATGGTAAGATATGATAATGTAACACAAACAAAAATCATCTAAAATTTGACTAGAGACCGTTTCTCGTCCAATTAATTTTGCTTTTGGTATTTTATTTCGTCGTACACCTAGGTCTCAAGAGGGCTCAATGTTCGGGCTTAATGGCTAATACTCAGGATTGGTTCTTATCTTTTGTGAGTTTACCGATCGAACTGTTTATTTCACGTTTCGTCAACTGCTGTGGTTAACANCAGACTAAGGAGGAATTGCGGGTAAAATTATATGACCAAACCATCATTTTCTACCTTTATACTAAACAATGCAATATTCAAAATTAAAAAAAAGGTTTATTTAATTGTAATAGTGTTTGATAATTGAATTTGCAATGAATTAGTTCGTTTAAACTGAAAGTTAGTTTGTAAATAAGAACGTTTAGTAAGTGCTAATATCCACCAGATGGCGGTACACTGCCACTTGGGTTTGTATAGCTTATATTTATAATGAATTTTTTTAAATTTGAAAAAATCGAATTGAAGGTCGATGTGTACTGTCATATAATTTTATCTGTGAAAACTTTTGTTCCTTGTATATAAGAATATATTATTTAATGGTAGATGTGGTTTTTTAGGATAGATGTATTAGCATTCTCACTTTCCTATGTATATGTTCAATATTACTTGATTATTTGTTTGTTGTTTCTTCGGTATGTAGTATGGTTACGTTGAACCTGTAAATAATAATAATATATATAAATATATTAGTTATTTTTAGTATTTTGTATACGTAATCGGAGTTTGAGAATTTTGNTATTACTATTTGTAAGCATCGCGTTTTTTTTACATTATATCCGTCATGCATTTTTTTAAACTGTTAGAAGGGTGGATGAATGTATTATTGTGTCTGTGTGGATTTCCTGACGTATTTAGGACAGAACTGAATTTTGTAAGGTTTAAATTCGTTTTATGGTAAGATATGATAATGTAACACAAACAAAAATCATCTAAAATTTGACTAGAGACCGTTTCTCGTCCAATTAATTTTGCTTTTGGTATTTTATTTCGTCGTACACCTAGGTCTCAAGAGGGCTCAATGTTCGGGCTTAATGGCTAATACTCAGGATTGGTTCTTATCTTTTGTGAGTTTACCGATCGAACTGTTTATTTCACGTTTCGTCAACTGCTGTGGTTAACAGGGAATTTAAAGAACGAACTGATTTTAGACCACGGTCATCAGGCCTAAAAATTGAGCTCTTTTCAGATAACGTTGACCTGAAAGCCTTAGGTGTTTTTCATTTGTATAGTACGGTTGTTACTCTTAGTTTCCAACTCAAAAACATCAAATTTGCCAGTGATTTTAGTTTTATTTTGAAAATAGTTTAAGAGTACATTTTAAAATTATTTATTATTCAAAAACCTTATCATGAAAAATATCTGAGGGATGTTTGGACGAGATAATTGTCTTAAATTACAAAATATTGAGATCGTGTTACTTTTATTGTAAATGTTCAGTAAAAAGTACCAGTGATGTCGATTTAAATGGATATAGAAAATTAGATATTAAAAAATTAAGAATATTTAAACGAATTGTCATAAGTATTCTTAAATTTGAACGCTTTAGTTTTCTTTTAGTAGTATAATTTTAATGAAATGATAATCTCAATTAAAAAAGCAAAATTAAAAGATTATTGTTTGTGTTTCGCGATAATAATTTAAAAAATGTTGCTCACTAAAACCTTTGCATTTGGCATTTGGGCAGATTGAATGAATTTAAAAAAATTCGTCGGTGGACTTTTTGGTCCTTGTCCTTTGTTTGGTCTTGAAAATAAGAAAAAAGAATTCAATCGATAGAATACATTACACTCAAATGGAAAGGTGATTATAATAATGTAAGCGGAAATAATAGGTAAAATTAGTTTAAAATGGTAATTTAATTTTCAAATTGGTTACGTTTATTACTGTGATTCTATTTGTATAAAATTTTTAAGATACCTTTTGTTAAGAGTAACGAGTTTAGAATTTGCATTTGAGATCGATTATACAATATATATAATGCGACTACCGATGTATTAAAGTAGTTGTGTAAACTATGAAAAAGAATTGTTTTATAAAAGAGAATGACAGAAAACGTCGAGCATAATTGGTTTAAAAAATATTAGGGTTGGTTTCGTTTTTTAAACTGCCAAGTATTTTTTATTACCAAAGTTGTTCGATATTTTTTATTAATTTTTTTGCGGTTGTAACAGCACTTTCTTTTATACTTTATTAAGGCAGTCGTTGTAGTGCCCATAACTAGACAGTATTATACATATACTAATTTCATTGAAAGTTGTGGCTACGAAAAACGATTGTCTGTACAGCTTATTTAACGCAATAATTTTGTACTTGTGGGTTTTTAAAACATTTCATTAACAGTTTATTACAATAATTGTAATATTTTCATTTGTCATGATCATATGAAAAATTGCATTGCACATATTAATACAGATGTATGCTTCAATAATTATTCTTACGTTGTGTCGCTTGTATTATACAGAATATTTCAATAAACATTATGTAAGAAGGTTTAGATTGTTCATGCGTTATTTTTAAATCATGAATTTTCCTTAAATGGTGCTTACATTCTGTTCTTTTTATTGAAATGATTAATTACTGCAATATATGTGAAAATGAGATTAGTTTACTGTGTTTGGTTTGGATCTTCTACACAATACATGTGTATGAATGATGAAATTTAAATAAAATATCGAGCAGTACATCAACTTCATTTTTAAATTTTAGCGGGTAATTTCGCCATCTTAAAAGTCAAGTAGGAATTTCAGTTCTTGCTTATTCGGTTGGTAGTGCCAACCAGGCAAATGTCAAACTAGCTACCAATTTTTGTTTAGTGTTGTTAGAATACCATTATTTGAACAATATAGCTTTATTTTGTTCTTCTAAATTAATATTTGTTATTAAATTGTATCATTTCACCTAATTTAATTGGTCTCCCATCTGTAACGGGATTTTTTACGGTAATATTGAATCGAAAAAAAACGACTTCAGCCGAGAGTCCATCAGCAATCAGTGTTTTTGGTGACGAGCGAAGGTCTCGTAAGTGCTTTTTGCTATTTCACATTATTTTATAATTATTGTAGTGTTTTATGTTAGTGCTTTTCATTAATTTATTGCTGTAAATCTTGAAGAATTAGCATTTTGTGAGTATTCCTCCATTAGTGCTTGTAATGAGTGTGCAATTCGCAACAACAGTCGATGGCTTTGTTTCATGCACTTTTTACAAGGAAAAGGTTTCACATTGGTTTTGTTTTTTCATCATAATGAAATAGCTTTGATGTGAACACATTCGTTAGTTTTAGTATTATAAGTATATTTGTTTATGAAAAATACCTTTTTTACTTTAAGGGTCGAAGTTCTTCGAAAGTGATTTTTTTATTTGAAGTAATGTTTAGTAATTCGTAGTGAATATTTGAGATCAGCTTAAAGGAGTAATTTTTATGTACGTAATGTCGTTTTGTATAATTTTTGCTTACAATTTATAGAATTAATAGCATATGTCTTACAACCACAAACGTATTTTTAAGCAAAAATGTACTTGTACATTACGTTTATACATGGCCTTTGTATTTTATGGTTCTGTGTAACGTTTTGTAAAATTAATTTTCTTTGTTCAAATTTTGCTCTCGAGGTCATTTGTATAAGTATTTAGCGTGTCTTTTATACGAACATAAGATACGATATGCTGGATAGGTAAGCATGTATATAACCTGGACCTTGAAAATAAATTCTTTCCTTCTTTCATAGAGTTACCCTCAGGTCAATAACCCCATAATCTGTACTTGGATAGTGCAAAATGGAGAGTATACATCGCTCCCTGATTGATTAAAACGAACGTTTTTGTTTTAGAACGTTTTATAGTGACTCATTCATTTTATCCAATCTTAAAACTGCAGCATATTCAACGAAGTATTTATTTTTTAGAATACATGTATTTATAATATGCAGGATGCAGATTTACTTTTTAATACTCTGAAACATCAGGATTTACTATTTATTGAGATTGACATTTAATAATTTCGTAATATTGTTAAATAGCAAGATTTAATTGCTGAATTAAGTTTGATAGTTTCAAAACTTCATTGTGCCTTAAAAGAAAGTAACTTGTTTTAAATATTATGATCAGTTGTATCTACATATGATGAAAGAATTTTCTATTACGAATACCGAACTAAGTTGTACTTAGTGTATCAAATGGTACTTCCGTTAAGGATTTGCAATTTTTTAGTTCATAATACTCATTGACTTTTTAAGCTGATTAGCCCATAACATTTGAGTTTGATTTTTTACAGATAAAAGTTGGCCGTTTTTTTCGTTAAGTTATACGGCCGGTTATAAAAAAGAGGACTCGTGTGTTTTCATAGCGCCCGTCAACCTCTTATCACAACGGAGAGCCCCAGGCAATCGGGGCCACAAGCTCGTGTTTCGGGGAAGGACAGTGTTCCCCCCGCCAAGCGACGCTGGGTCCCACCATCTACACTGCGCCATCAACAAGATGCCCTCACACCTGAGTCCCGAAACGATCTTATCTTTCGAAAAGTCCGCGGTATCCTCAACAAGCTCACGCCAGAGAAATTCCAGAAGCTGAGCGACGACTTGCTACGCATTGATCTTACTTCGCATGTTGTTCTTAGAGGTAAGCAAAATTCTTGTTTTACAATTTCTGATAAACTTTTGAATGTATTTTTTCGTTTACAGGTGTAATTCTGTTGATTTTCGAAAAAGCCCTCGATGAGCCGAAATATTCGTCTATGTATGCACAGTTGTGCAAACGACTGTCAGAAGAGGCGCCGAATTTTGAACCACCGGGCTATCCATGCACATTCCGTTTGTTGCTCCTTAACACTTGCAAAGCGGAATTCGAAAAACGTAGCGAGACTTTCGATAAATATGCCAGTAATCCAGAGCTTGACGAGGATGAGCGCCGTCAACTGGCCAAGCGTAAGATGTTGGGAAACATTAAATTCATCGGAGAGCTTGGTAATTAATATTGTTTATTAAATTTGATTATATTTGCAAGTATGCATTATATTTTTCCTCTTTCCCCGCCTTTTCGCTTTTTTTATTTTATCTCCATTCCTTTTCAACGATTATTCCTTTCCCTTTCCTAAAAGTAGTAACAGAACAGTTATAGACTGTTTGCAGAAATGGATGCTGTCTGAATTGTTTAATGCCACAATTACTATCAAAAACCTTAAAAGTAGAATGGAAATTTACTTTACAGTGTAATAAAACTGTAAATTTAAAGGAGCAGATCAATAGGATGAAAATAAATAAAGAGTTTAATAATAAGTCAGTTAATGTATGAATTTTGATGTATTTATGTCTGTAGGCTTCAGTTCTTTTGTGACAGTTTGCTGTTAAATATTATCTGTAAAGGGGCACTGTAATTAAAGTAAATAGTCTTGAAATCGAAAAATGATTTATCACGTATTATGTTGACAGGTAAGTTGGAGATCATGTCAGAGGCGATTATACATCGATGCATTCAGCAGTTGTTGGCGTCGAGAAAGGGCTGCGATGCGTCTGAAGATCTGGAATGCCTTTGTCAGATCATGCGTACGTGCGGTCGAATCCTCGACTCTGACAAGGGAAAAATGCTGATGAATCAATATTTCGGCCGCATGGCCAATTTGGCGGAAAATCCCGAGCTTCAACCGCGTATACGGTTCATGCTGAAAGACGTGATTGAGTTGAGACGCGATAATTGGGTCCCGCGTAAGGCCAACGTGGTCGAAGGACCTGTGCCCATCAATCAGATTCGACCGGATGAGCATGAACGGATCGCGTTGAATTATCGCCGCGACAACAATCGCAACAACCATCATGATCGCGATTCGGATCGATTCGCAAGCGTTTCTGAACTGTTCCGGCACCCAATCAAGACCCGATCATCCGGCATCGACGACATGTTAATGGGACTCAACATAAGCTCATCCACTAGCAATTTGATCACGCACCCGTTTAATAGTCCCAACGGTTACGGTGCGCAACGGGGTGATGTGGTGAGCGGTGGTGGTACAGGTGGCGGATTCCGCACCTCCAACAATCAACGCAATAGCGGATTCAACAATTATAGTAACCAACGCGGACAATATAAGCACAACCAGAACAACAGTAACNAGTATTGTAATATATTACCTAAAATTTCAATATGTTTTTGTTTTAATTTGCTTATTCTTGTGATTTTTGTGTTTTTACAGGTTAATCAGTGGTTGACGTGGCTCCAAGAAGCAGAATCAGAAGAGGAGGAGGAGGGCGACGATTGAAGATAGCCACGAAATGATCGTGATAAGTCATTTAGGAAATTTATTAGGATATTAAAATGAGAAAATAGCCTTTGTCTAATTTTATTTTTTATGTCAACAACTCGAGTAACTTAAAAAGTGTATTTTTTAAAAAAAGGTAATTTTCCATCACTGTTAGAATAGTTTGATTTTTGGTGATACAGCGTATACACGAATAGATTCAAAAAATATATTCATAATACATACACCCTCATTCAGACACAGACAAGATACAGTCAAAAAGTACGCGTCACATTTCTTACGATTAGTGAAAAAACATAAACTCTGTACATTGTATTTGACGTTCAAGTGTGGATGGTTTTATATATATATAAATATGTTTTAGTGGACAGTATATGTGATGTTAGGGCAGTAAGATGTGTTCTGATGTTGCTTTCCAACAACGGTTACGGTGCGCAACGGGGTGATGTGGTGAGCGGTGGTGGTACAGGTGGCGGATTCCGCACCTCCAACAATCAACGCAATAGCGGATTCAACAATTATAGTAACCAACGCGGACAATATAAGCACAACCAGAACAACAGTAACAACCAATATAATAATCGTATGTATATATTTAATCATGAGTAAATCAAAATGGAATTCAGTTTTTATAATCACTCACTGATGCAGTAAGTATAACAATGTTCTTTTTACAGAATCTAATAAGGATATTGCACCTCGTTTTAAGAAGAACTTAATCGTTGCCCGTGAACAAGACCTAGACGAGATTCAACTGCGGCCCTCTGCCAATTCGATGCTTTTCAGCAAAGCGACTGTAAAATCGAACCCCATAACAAACAGTCGCCCAATTGATCCTCCGTTGCCCATACCAAACTCTGTACCTAAACAGCCGCCCACCTTACTCAAGGAAACTGTACCCATCAAGCAGGTCTCTGTTGAGAAACCGAAGCAGTCCAAAAAAGATAAGGTACAAAAAGAGTCAAATTTAATATACCGTAATTAATCACCTTCTCTAAAAAAGCTTTTAATATTTTTTTATTGTTAAAGGGTCCAAACAAGGAAGAAATTTTGAAAAAGTTTACATCTATATTGACTGACTATTTGAAATCAGAAGTAGATCTCAAGCAAGCCATTGATTCTTACAAGGAATTGAATGTTCCTGAAAAATTTTCTAAAGACATCATTTCTCGCACTTTAACTCACACCCTAGAAAAGACAGGTTTGTAAAAAGTAATACTTTGAAATCTATGAAATTAATTTTTTTTTTGTAGAAACGAATATAAATTACTTACACTATTTTACATGTAATGAAGTTTGACTGATTTTTTCTTTTTTTAGATGATGAAGAGCGCGAAAAGTCGGTGAAGCTGTTGTCGTGTCTGCGCAAAGAGTCTTTGCTAAACGCGAATCTGATCCAAGAGTCGTTTAGAACGTTGTTAAATTTAATGGACGAAGAAGGCGAGAACGAGACAACAACGAAGATGAGTTGCGCGGGCGCTGCGCTCGTGGCGCACGCCGTAAGAGAGCAATTGATGTCTCTAGTTGACGTCGCTGCCCTGACCGACAACGGCTCGCACTATCCGCTCTTCCTTTATGTGCTCCAGCGCCTGCACAAACTCATTGGTAAAAACGAATTACTCGAACTGTTCAATAGTAGCAAAATCAATTTGTTGTCCCAGTTGCCCGAGAGCGATAAGACAAAAGAACGTTTAGCGGAAATTCTGGAAGAGAGGGATCTGACGTTCTTGTATCCGCTGTTGCGTATACAGGCGGAGCTCGCGAAACAGCTCCACGCCGACCCTAATCCACAACAGTTCTACAAATGGATCAAGGAGAACCTCGATCCAACTAATTACACCGATCCTGGCTTTATTAATGCACTTGTAACTGTTCTTCTCAAGTACATCATACAGGTAAGTCGTCATTCTTGCCTTGCCTTATTTTTAATAAAAACTGAATATAAAAACATAGAACTTTTTAGAGAGCAATTAAAAAGTCTCTTCACTTTGTTATTTGTTACTTTACTTTTTCTTCATTTTAAAAACTATTGTAGACTAAATTTTAATTTGCTGTATAATCACTTAACTCATTTAATATTGTTACTGTTATATTGTCAACAATATCATCTTTTAAGTGACTTTTTGAACCGGTTAGTGTACAATAAATTGGAAATTCTTGATTGATTTGCCAATTTAGACAAATTCTTGTGTAAAATATTACTAGGAGTCCTAAAAACAATTATTTCATTTTAAAGGAGGCGGCAGCGTGCACCCCTGGGGACGAGAAAGCAATAATCGAAAAGGAACGCTCTTTCTTGGAACGATACCGCCCCATTTTGACAGCGTTCCTTCACGAACAGTCGGCCCTGCAATTGGTCGCCGTCTACTCATTGCAAGTTCACTTCTTCTCACTCGGTTTCCCTCGCGGCCAGTTGCTGCGTTGGTTTATGGCTTTCTACGATCTTGAAATTATTGAAGAAGAGGCTTTTCTCAACTGGAAAGAAGACGTCACTGACGCGTACCCCGGCAAAGGACAAGCTTTGTTCCAGGTGAATATTTTTATAACAGTATCAGTGAAAGTTTATTTACGTCTTGTAATGATCTTAATTTTTATTGCGACATTGGTACCTTTATTCGCCCCATATGAAATATATCGATAATGGGAAAATATAAAAAAAATAGCCAAAAATGGTCAAGTTTGACTACCAAAATAATTGTGTTTAACTACTGAAGTGATCCTAAATTAAATTATTACGTTATTAGAATAACTATAAGACAATAAAATTTTAATACTTTTTTTTAGAAAGCATTAATCTCATTACTTTGGGCGAATTTTTATGTCTATAGTTTTTTTATATTCATTCATACTTTTAATTTTTGATTGAATATTATTTTAGTATTGTAATATATTACC